GGCTTTTTGGAATACTCATTCCATTGTTCACAAAACCATATGTTTATGTAACAATGGTTAAATATATATAAATACACAATTTTCTTTCCTGAAGGAGCTGTTTCTGTTTGGTCTGGAGGCACTGGACACAATTATATAGGCTCAGTCCCTTCCCTTTGCAACAAGTACACTGAGTCAGTAGTGTATTCTGAACTTACTCATGGCCCATACTGAGATACAAATTTTTAAGCAGAAGCCCCCACTGCAATCAGTGAAGCATGCTACCTCAAAGTACCAAATGCATTATTTGGTTATAAATGCTTCTCAAATACCAGAGAATTTGCAGCACTTCCTAATGGTAGCATTAGCCTTCCCATAAAATTAGTGTATATTCACAGCAATTGCTTTACAGTGGTCAAATCACTGTTACTGCAATTTTCATCAGGGTTTAATTTTATGCTTGAAATTTGTCAGCCTGCTAGGCATGCTGGAACTGTCTTTAAACTTCAGGAGGGAATTCCATAAAAGATTCCAAATAGGATTAATTTCATGTAAGTGGCAGATTTTATTACTTTTGATTTCCTAAATTAATCCCTCCTATAAAATTATGCGTACCATTTTATGTCTTTGCGGCAGGGATTTATTTTGATCCAATGACTCTGACTTGTTTATCACTCAGCACAGAGTACTCATCCAAAAAAGCACTGAAGAAGTTTTGACTGATTCACCATCTGTTAGATCCAGAGGATATGACCAATTAAGTCAGTCAGTGGCTGAATCCATCCCAATCTGTGTTCACTTCCATTTGCAACTCTAGATAAAAACAATTTTGCATTGTGTGCTCCTCACTGGGTATATATTGTTGAGAGTCATAAACATCAACTTTAAACCTCCTGCCCGAACAACAGATGCTTTTTTACTTCCTATGACCGATTTTGCTGGTCAGTTTTCACCTTGGTGAGGTGAGGACTTGTATTTAAACAGCTTTGGATCAACAGACATTTTTGTAAAAGTATACGGTGTTATAGCAACTAGGGTTGTCTAAGAACCCATCTTAATCACCATTTGGCTGTATTTCACCAAACTGTGAATAATTTGGTATTCTAGTTCTAAAAAGTTTTTAGAGGGGGAAGAGATTCCTAGGCAGAGGTGGAAATATGGGTTTGTTCTAACAATATTCTTACCTTTTTAAAGAACTGAGCTGTGTAAATGAGATTAGTTAATGAGTAATATAATCTAGGTTTTTTAACTAAACCTGATTTTATTGTATGTGAATTGTTTTATGTATGTTTTTATATATACTGGATGACAGGGGTTTGAAGGGATGGTTAATATCTGTCCCCAAGAATGTTGAGGTTTCTGAGAGATGACCCGTTGGTCCGCTGTGCCTATTTGCAGCGTTTAGAGAAGCTTCTGTTTGGCAGATAGGACATAAAGGTTGTTTTGGCATATGTTTACTCTTGGATACAGCATATCAAGAGCAGTGTTTCTTTGGAGAGCTGTATCATGTGGGCAGAGTTGTTTCGAGTCTTAGATTTTTATATTGCCAAGTGTTATAATAATGTGGGTTTTTAAAAAATTGTAGAACATAAAAATGACTTGATAAAAGCTGTAACCTCAGGAAGTATCAATTCAAGCCTGGAAAGATTAAAAGAAAATCCTCAAATGTTGCAACAGTAAGAGACTTTTGTTTTTGATCTTTCACATATGCTCACCCCAGTTTTTAATATAGTGCCTCTAAACTAGGTGACCAAATTTAACCTATGAAACCTTGAATGGGGCTCTAGGTACTCAACTAACAGTTTAATGAGCCTATTTGAAACCTGGATTATTTGTTCCTACACTTATTGGCTGTTCCAATCATAGTTTTATTGCATGAAAAATAAAACTAAAAAGCCTCATTAACAACACAGAAGTAGTAGAATAAATGCAAACTACACTGTGTCGTTACCTTTCAAGATTCTGCCTTCCCTTCTTAAAGGCTAAATTTAAACCCTATGGACGCGTGCAGATGAGTGTGATCGTACTGCACAGTCCAGTGTTCTCCGTGCTGCGAGGATGCGCTGCCCGAGTGTACACTGTTCTGGGTTTTTTTCTGTGGGTTTTTTTGAACCCTGGATATCCAGGATATCCTAATCTTAAACTAATCAAACTAGCCCTTCTTCTGCAATTCAGCTGTCTGGTAGCTCGTCCTGGTAATGTAACTTCTATTTTACAGTTCTGAAGACTGATTTTAACTCTAGCTAAAAACGTTAACTTAGGTGTGGAAATAACTTTCAGGGAAGCTCTGGATGCACTGTCAAGATGTTCAAGAAGGCTAGGTTCTGTTTTATGAATCTGAAAAAGAGATGACCATTTAATTCTAACAACAGCAGGCCTAATGAAACAACACCTTTTGATTATTTTTTGCCTAGTTCATTGTGGGGTTTTTTTTACATACCAGTACATAATATATGGTATAGCAAATTAATGCACATTCCAATAACTTTAGATTTGGTTTCACTCCAATCTTAAACAGGTTAATGCAGTCCTAGGCCTTAGGTTATTAGTAAAGCTTCTAGTTTCTTTTTCATTAAAAAAAATAGGCGTTATATGATGATGCACCACACCACCTGCACCCTCATTTTCAAAATCTTAGATCCGCCCATGGCTACTAGGTATCTTAAAATTATCCAGATTTTAGCCCAGTTTGGTAAAGTTATAAGCAAATGAAGACCACTTGTAATGGGAAGTGGTTGGCAATACACACAGTGAAGTATAGCAGATCTGCCTTTTACACTGGGAACATAGCACCTCCTCAGTTTGTCAACTTCTTCCTGTAATTGACATCTTCCAGACCACATAAAGACTCACCCGATTCCATTATGACTACTGCCCCCACCCCCTTATTCCTTGTTTAAATGTGATTAAGATTTTTCATTTATTCACTGCTTATGCACACAGTTGACAAGCTTTTATTAACTTAATTACTTATTATTGATAATGTTATAATCTTTTGTATGTTGAAGCACTTTTGCTGACATCCTTGGTATTATTATTCCCTTTTGTACTGGGGGGGCAGGGGGTCCGGGTGGGAGGAATGAGATATGGACAGAAAGGACTTGCCTCAGGTCCTCTGACAGCCCAATGGGAGAAGCTAGAAGTAGGATCCATTTCATGAGTCCCATTTCAATGACAGAAACTTTGCCATGTGTTCACTTTATTGTCTTCTTGAGAGGGGCTGGGTTTCTGGGGGCTGGAGGTATACAGGGCAGTTATGTACAACTGAAGCTATAGAGAATTTGTGGGGGACTGGAAGGGGGGGCCGTTGAGAAGGAATGGGGCTGTAGTTATTCAAGCTAACAAAATGGTGGTCCCTAAGATACTGCTGTCCACCAGTCTTCATGACTAGACAGACAATGTTATAAAGGGGTTTAGATGTCAAATAATTGTGGTACTTTTTATGGGCCAGTATCTCCTTTTCATGGAGACTGGAAAAGGGTTGCAGGAAGAAAACAGAAGTTTGGGCTTGCTTAACTTCCCATTAATTCCAATCTATTTCTTAGTCTTAGCTTTTGACTTTACTTTCTAGCCAGTGTTTTCCTGAAAAAAACAGTGACCTTTAAAAATCCTTCCTACCACCTCCACTATCGATCCATATTAACAACTTTAAATGCAGTTTAAGTGTTTTTGTCTTGGAATATAGAGACCAGATTTGAGTCTTTTCAGAGGCCTCTTGTGCCTTTCTTTTCTTACAAAGTCCTGATTGATAAATATCTACTACAGTTGTTGATGACATGTAGGGGGTACATGTGCACCCCCTGAGATCAGCCGTGTACCCCCTGGAAGCGCCAGCCAGAAGTGCACTTCCGGTTTCACCGCTGGCTTAGCGATTGGCTGCTGGGGAACTGCCCCCCATCAGTGATCTGGTGCCCCCCAGACTTGGGAGGCATCAGTCACCCATGATTACAGTTATCCTTTGGCGAGTAAATTTTGTGTAATTCTGTGCTCACCAAAAGCTCAGAAAAACCCTCTACTATATGTAACATGGGGAAGCTCATAAGAACTTTTGTTGTTGTTACTATCAGTAACCAAGAAATGCTTTTTATACTGCATTGTTATGCTACTGGTATAGGTATAAAACAATAAAATATTGTTTGTCAATCTTACCATTCTTGTTCAGTGAAGTGAGTATTACCTTGATCCCCTTTCCCCTGACATACATAGTATTTCTAAACTTGCAGAGTAACTGCGCTTCTAGCAAAGTAACTCTGGTACCTAGAGCAGAGCAGAGGGCCTAAGTTTAGGGCATCTCTGCACTGACTAACAAAAATGTACCTTTAGGAAACTAAAGCTGTAAGCAGTTTTGCACACATGTCAGGCAATATAACATCCCAGTAGCTCAGGAGCAAAGGAGAAACTTGTTTCACTTGCAGTATATGTTTAGGGTTCTACAGCATTTTCTGTCTAGGTGCATTTATCATTAAGGATTGCTGTCCACAGATGCATCCCAATTTTCATAAACTTTCTTCAGGGTAGAGAGAGAGAGAGAGAGAGTAAAGGTTATAGCTTCAAGAACCTAAATAGTAAATATAGGTGAGTGACCCCATTCTTGAAGGGATGAAAGGAGAATCTAAACCACTGATGTGCATAAAGTTGAACAAAGGTGAGCATAAAGTGAACCACACATGATCCAAATCATGTTATTGCCTGTATTTTAAAATACATGGCATCCATTTGGGACTGGCATTCAAGTCCCATTTCCTGGTCAGGTACAAACAGAGAAAGCCCAAGAAAAAACAGACAGATCATACTTTTAGTTCTTTCAAAGTTGAACAGAAACACAATACCTATAAAAATTGATAGATATGTTGTGTCTTGATTTAAATCTGCTAGGTGACTCAACCAGGATGTTTCTTTTTTAATCCATGTTTTTTGGAATTGGATGTCAAACATTATGTCATACTAAAATGCTCTCTCTATATGTTATCTTATAAATAATATGAACTTTTATATTTTCTCTCTGTATGTAGATACTCATAAGGCACAACTACCTCAGAGTAAAGGCATTGAACAAAGATTATATAAGACAAGGCGAATTACACTGAAGACAGGTCAGTCCTCCATCCTTCTCATTGGTTTAATCACTGGCTTCTATTTTGGATTCTGTGCCTGAGTTTTTTCCTGCTTTTGCTCTCCAGGGAATACTGGTAGTTTAAAAGGGCGAGTGTTGCATTGTGATTTGAAAAGAGATGACTTTTTTATCTCCTTGGGGAAGGTGTTAAAATGCTTTTGGCCAGCTAAGGAGAAAGATATTTCATTGGCTCTCGAGAATATAACTAGACTGCATTAACTAATTTACAAAATGACTACATCTTCTGGGTTAGCTGCTAGAAAGAGAGGTGGGGGGTGGTCTTGGTAAGGACCAACTGTTGTCATCAGATGAACTGTAACAGTATAGATTATAGCAAGAGTTTGGGTTGAATACTTTATGCTCAAAGCAGCCTCCTGCGTTTATGATTTGGAGTCTATATATGAGACCAGAATAAACAAACAGGTCAAGAGACTGAGCTACCTATGAAACATTCAGGACAGCGATGGTTTTGCATTCCAAGCCATGCTATTGCTGGAGAGCTCCTGACTCTGTGGAGGAGACTGTTCAGAGCAGAACAGAACTTCGAATCCTGATTTTGCAATCTGAGCTATGTAGCTGCCTCCTTGTTCTAGGCCTCCACGGAGGCCCAAATGATTTTGCAGAGGAAAAAGGGGTTGTCTGTACAGATCAGACCACATGATCCAAACTTTGGTTTGCAATCACTTGATGTTAATATCTGTTAAATCTGTAAACTCCGTTCATATCTGGCCCTGGTTTTTCCCATGCTAATATCCTACCTGCCAAGCAAAATTATGTGGACACTTGCAAATACTTGGGGACTACAACTACTTTCATTAATTGGATAAATGAAATAAATGATTACTCCTTACCTTTTAATTCAACAGTCAGTGTCCACAATTGTTTTTGTCCATTGATATCTGGACCTCACCTAACACCTAATCAACTGGACTTCTCCATCTAGTTAGGTCACTAGTACAAAGAAGTCAGTGATAAAATTTTTCACTGATTTCCCCAAGGTGCTAGGTGAGGTCCTTAAGAAAGTTGCCTGCTGGTGGGCTTGCTGCAACAAGTAGCTTGCTGCTGCCCTTTACAGGGCAACAGTGGGCATGTCTACATGTGTGCTTTAAAGCGCATTAGCCTATTTTAATGAGCATTAAGCATCACTGGAAAAACGTGGTCTTAAGTCAACGCCCATTAAAATAGGCTAATGTGCATTGTGTCACTTAAAAACTGTGCTCTTTAGTTAATGTACATTAAGACAGGCTAATGCACATTTTCCTAGTACCTCACAACTGCAGACACTTATAAACGTGTCCCAGGAGTAAGAGTTGGGGCATAGGTGACTGCTAGGGGGTGCACCAGGGTGCATGTGCCCCCCCTGATGGGGCCAGTCTCCCCCCTTGATGGCCGACACTGATGCTGTCAGCAGGGCTGGTGTCCCCCATGGCAGGGCCGCCACTGTGGGTGGCTTCTGTGGGTGCCCCCCCAGATTTAGGAGGCACCAGTCGCTCATGGGGGGTGTGGGGGTGTGTGTGCTTTAATTAAAGCAGATTGAGAGCCACTCTAATTAAAATGCCCAGAGCATCTCATGTATGTGTCCCCCTGCTAAAAAATGGCAGTGAGGGCTCTTTAACTAAAGTTCATCAAGTGAGCTTTACTTAAAACACTCCTACCACCATATTTCAGCACCGGGGCACTGATACAGTAGGTGCTGGAATCTACAGGCAGTCCTGGGACTTAGGACACAACTTGTTCCTGAAAACGGGGTCTTAAGTCAAAACATTGTAACTCAGAACCAATTTTCCCATAGGAAACAATGTTATAAATGGGGGATTCGTTCCTGAACCAAGGCCCATTACCCTATTTTTACCAAAAATAACCCAGAATTTTCTATTCAATCAATACTAGATGAGTAATATAGCTACATTAATGTATTTATATTGTAAATAGCAATCACATTGATTTGGAAGGACTTTGAGGTGACTTTGCTGGAGTTTTTGAAGTGTTCTTGGCTGGCGTCTTCTCAGGAGTCCTGGCTGCAGGTTTCTCTGGAGCCTTGTCTGCTTTCTTAAAGAAAGTGTCCAAGGAGGTTTGGACAGATGTTCTCCGGGCAGGTGGGCGACGCAGCGAACGAGTTTACTGGCGCAGCGTGGGATCAAGTGTTGTGAAGTGGAAATTGACATCAGATAGTTGAAAGAGAGTGTCGATTTATAAACGGCATGAGTGCGAAACGTTGTTAAGTCGAGTAATTATAGCCCATGGGAGCAGCATCCCTAATGTGTACAGGCACCTACAGGTACTAGATTTAAAGCGCATTAACTAAAGCGCATTAATGCACTTGTAGCCCTACCCAGTCTGTCAGACGACAGACTTCTTTCCCTCCCTGGATGAGCCGGCAGGAGGCTCTCTAGAGACGTGTCAAACACAGATTTAACCGCGGGGAGGCACAGCTCTCCTACCGACCCACCAGAGGCAGCATCCCTTCTGGGGGGACCTTCTGGCGGCCTAAGGGAAGCCCTCAAACCTTTCCGCTGCGGCATTTATTTGATAGAAGCGGAGACCGCGGGCACCAAGCACTGGAGCAGCCGTGACCCCGCCCGCGTCCTGCCCGGCGTCGGGCAGCGGCTTCACCCCGGCGCGGCGCATGCGCCCACGCCTGGGCCCAGCCGTGACCCCGCCCGCGTCCTGCCCGGCGTCGGGCAGCGGCTTCACCCCGGCGCGGCGCATGCGCCCTGAATCCGCGGGGCGGGGACACCGCCCTCCCGCCCGCCTCCGGCTCAAACTCCGCCCGGGCTCCGGCAGCAGCGG